AGAAAATAATACGTCTCATTTTGAAATTTTAGCAAAAGTCATTATAAACAATCTATGAAATTGAAAATGAAAAACGTGGAGCGCATGCAATACAAAGCATTCGATTTAATTGACAATAGTCAAACTACATATTAATAATAATCGTTCTTTTTCTTTGCCACGATTTTATAATGCCGAATAAAACTAGATTTTTATCACTTTCCATTATGTTAACTTATAAAATGTCAAATGAAAACAGCTTATTTTGTTTGCTTTTGAAGACGGTTACTTTGATGCCGATATAAAGCCGTAAGTATAAACACTAGAGCGAAATGTGTACGGTGTTAATGCGCTTTCAATTAAGTCTATTAATCTGTGCGTATAAACGTAGTAATTGAAAGTTTCTGGATCCACAACATTGAAAGTTTCTGGATCCACAACATTGCAAGTTGATAAAAGCGTTGTAAAATGTATGGAGGTATGTACATATATACATATGTAACTTCAAAAAACAAACCATTTTTCTTATGTACTGAAATAAGAAATGGCAAAGCATCGTTCACTTAAAATCGGTACGCAATTGTTTGAATGTATTAAAAAGTTGCAACGCAGATCGTTAGACAATAGATCTACCATTATGAGGTTTAAATTTCATAGTACTGGCTTTTAATTTGACAGTTTTATTCGCGTTGGAAGTGGTTGCTCAAAAAATAATGTTGAACATATTCGTTAAAAATCCGATATTCTCGAGATCAAAAATCAAATTAAAATTAAATATACCAAAAACTCCTAATTTTCCTCCAAAAATCAATGAATGGATTCCTTCTGCTTAAACTAACAGAGTAAGCTAATCATAAAAAAAAAATCATTTCGCACCAGCTTATGGATAAGGCTCTTTACCTCAATTATAAAAAAAATCGGCTTATCAGAAGAAGATCGCGCGAAAGAATTGGAAAACGATTATCCACAGTTCAGCGAATGGAAGCTATGGCAAGACTTAAACCTTATAGAGTTATCTATCTATCTATTTATATATAATACGCGAAGGCATTTTTTGTGCAGCATAAAACATCTGCACCGTTCGCTCGATTATCAAAATTGGGGTGTCAAATTAAAGCGGTTGTCCTGTAGATGTGCAAACTGGTTGTATTTTTTCGAAAGGAGTTGCCACCTGTTTTATAATTAAACTCAATTTATTTACTAATCAATGCCCTCAGATCCGCACCGTCCGTTCGATTTTCAGAAGTGAGAAACCAAATTAAAGGGCTTAGGGTGTGGATGTTCAGGAAGGTTTTACTTTTTCGAAAAAAGTTGGCACCTGTTAAGAAATTGAGTTCAAATTAATTAAAAAGTTAAATCAATTATTAAATACGGTTATCAATCGAAATGGTTTTAAAAAGGCTTTATAACTTAATTAAGTATAAGGGGGTTGCCACATGTTAAAAAAATGTAATTCAATTTCAATTAAAGGAACTTGGTAAGTGAATGAGGTATCGCTATATGGGGATCATACAAAAGAGATTTAAGAAGGTAGTAGTTTGAAAATATTTTGAATAGGGTTGCCTAATTGAACAAATTTTTTATAAGAAATATTAACCATGGATGTCAAATGAAATGTGTTTGAGGGTTGCCCCAGTTTAAAGGGCAAACTAAAATATTTAATAAGTTAAATGAATTATTAACCGATGGTTATCAATGGAAATGGGTTTAAAATCCTTTATTTAAGAACTATATTTAGGAGGGTTTCCACGTGTTTAAAAAAAGAATTTCCACTTAATTCATCAGTTACTTGAAATATTTATAACAATGTCAGGCGAAAAATATTTAAGGAAATTTTAGTTCGAAAATAATTTTTTTTGCCGCCTGTTTTGAAAGTGGTATTTCGTTTAATTATACATTAGTTACACGAAATTTTAAAATATGGTTATCAAACGAACGAGTGTTAAGAAATCTTTGAATTGAACTCTTTGTTTTTGTTTTTTTTTTGTTGAAAAAATTAAGCTCAAATTATTTAATAAGTTATATGGATTGTCAAGAGATGGGTATCAATCGAAATGGGTTTGAAAATAGTTTATTTCCAAACTGTATTTACGAGAGTTGCCATGTGCTTAAAAAAACTGAATTCAACTTAATTCATCAGTTAATTGAAATGTGTATAACAATGCCAGGCAAAAGATTTTAGTTTGAAAATACCTTTAAAGAGGTTACCACTTGTTTGAAAAGTCGAATTTGTGTTACTTATACGAAAGATACATATATGAAATATCGAAATATTAGTGTCAAACGAAAAAGTTTTAAGAAAACTATAGGCTGATAATACTTTTAATTAGGGTCTCCATCTATTTTTTTTTGAAGGTCATCACATCTGCAACGTTATTTCGAATTTCGGATTCTACATAGATGTGCACAGGTTTTATTTTTTGAAGTTACATGAAAATCGACACCATGCGAGACCATTCATCACTCCGAAATGATTTAAATCACGAATATTTTTAGAGCTTTATGAATAGGGTTTCACCTGTTTAAAAAATTTAATTAAATGTTGGCGTTTTGGCGCCATCCGGGTTCACTAGTATAATTCTGTTAGATTAAATAAATTTGATAACAAAAACCGCACCCATTTACTTTACCCCAATGTTCACACCAAATGTGGTATTTTTAGTAATGACTAAAAACATGTTTAAAACTTGACTTCGGTCCACTCCCACGTTAAAAGTTTTAACCATGATAAAAACATAGCAAGGTATAACCGTTCTCTCAATTTGTCGGCCATGATTTTTTTTTGAAGTTTGCCAACATTTTAAAATCATATGAAAGTGAAAATAAAAAATTGAAATTGTTCGAAATTGTTGTTGCTTGAGATTGAAAATGAAAATGTGTGTGTGAGTTTGTGAGTAAATTTAAAAATTAAATTGTTTGGAAACGTCAAGAATTTTAAAAGTGACTCTCAGCGGTTCTACCTTACTATATTTTTATCATGGTTTTAACCTAAAAAGAAACAGGGTGATATCCTCTTAAAACTAAATTTATAGAAGTTGACAACTGTTGTCAAAGGGATATGAAATAACGAAAGAATCGAAACAGTCTCATTAAAACGCGATCAGACTCCACAATGGGCCATATAACCCCAGAAATATGCTTGCATAAAGTGTTAAGCCATTGTATCATTTACTTTAGACCTTCAGTAAAGTTTTGATTGGTTTTAAAGAAAATTAATTATTCACAGGTAATTTTAAATCAGTTTGAAGCCAAATATATGAATAAAGTTCTGGAACTAATCAATTTAAAAATATGTCCTATTTACGTCAAATCGAAAAATACACGGTATTTATTCAAAACAAAATAAATAGAGATGTGCGAACTATGAAAAAACATAAACTGAAGATAGTTTAGTGGAACAAGTTGACTACTCAAGTCTCTAGAACGGGTGTTCAGAAAAATTTTATTATTATCAAAGAAATTGTCTGTTATTTATTTATCCAAGCAAAATATGAAACTTTCGCTAACATCTATCTATAGCAGAATAGTTCCCTTTATTTCAATATATCTATTAAATATTATTTTCTGAAAACCTGCTAACAATATATATNTTTATTTATCCAAGCAAAATATGAAACTTTCGCTAACATCTATCTATAGCAGAATAGTTCCCTTTATTTCAATATATCTCCCTAATATTATTTTCTGAAAACCTGCTAACAATATATATATATAACCTATTTTATGCGTACCGATTTTGAGTGAACAATGCTTTATGACTGAAGAGCATTTATGATCTTTATGAACATAAACCCTACTTCGAAAAGTAAATGCGCAATTTCTCTAAAAATTTTAATTTATAGAATTTATAAATGTGCATGACTGTAATAATACTATTACATTTTCTTTGAACGTTGTCAGATTCCGAAAAGTGCAGCTGGGAGTTGCCATGAGAAACTGAACCTTAGTGCAAAAATTATTATTTTTTTTTATAAAACTAACAAACGTGTGGATAAGACATTTGAAAAAATCTTAAATCACCCAAAAAATAACAAATTAAAGCTTAAGGGTGGTTTTATCACTTGCGAAGCGAATGAATTTGGGGAAGCGAACGGTTTGGCGAAGGGAATTAAGAGGCAGAGAAGGCCAGACAGAACTTTGTGGTTTTGCGTGACATGTATAACTTTGCCAGAAAAGCGCCAGACGCAAAACGTATGTCGCAATTAATGCCAAGAAAACCATGATGCAATTATACAAAGTGTTGTACGGCTCGTTTCCTTACAAAAGGTTGTTATATGGAAGCACCAGAAAACGGGAAGAAAAGAAGCCCGCTTTGCGAAATAGTACTAAATTTAGTAAATTTAGTTTATACGCACGGATTATCTGCAAATAACAATTTGCAAAATGGTAAAATTTTCCGTATACACGCTGAGTTAATTTTTTATTTGCAAATAACTAGATCACGCAAATAAGTATTGGTTAGTGGTACTATTTGCAAATAAGCGCAAGACGCCGCATTCTTAGGTTTATTTTCTTTTTCGATGGTCATCTTATTGCCTTTTTATAATCAAGACGTTGCCATTTCTAACTTTATTTTCTTTTTCGATGATAATATTATTGCCTTTTTATAATCAGGCAATATTAAAAAATAATTTTTCACCATCGAATAAACAGTTAGTTAGGTATTTGCAAATAGCTTACGTATAAACGTAGTAACAAATAGTTACATGGTATATTATGATAAGCTAAGCGACTCTAAAATAAATTGCAGTTTTTTGACATAATTTTCAAAACTGCTTTAGGGTATAATTTTTAACCGAAAATACTATAAGATTATTGATATAACTTACAAAAGTTTCGCCATAAAAACATTAGTGGTGACCCCGAATCGTTACAACATAACGGACAAAAGGGCGCATCGACGTATGAAGAGAATATTTCATCGAACAAAATGCCAACTAAAGATGTGGAGCTTGTACGTCGGGAAATATAATCTGGTCTCTGCTTTAAAGGAAGTTGCGGATGTTTCAAGAGCCGTACCTTCACAAATCAACTACTGCCACGTTTTACTGATTAAGGTGACCCAAAGAGGGGTATTTAGCCGGCCAAAACTATTTTTATGAATATTTCAGCAATATGGGTATTAATGTAAATGGTAGGGATTTTGATAATTCAAATATAGGTAAGAAAATGTAATAAAACTACATCTTTGCTATAATTCCAGTAATATAACAGTTTTACTTATTGTTAAAAGAATTTTGTAAGTATTAACTTGGAGTAAATTACCGTCCTCAATTACTGAAACGTCGGAGTTTTCGTATTTTCAACGTATTGCTTTTCCATTAAGTGCACAGAGTTTGGTATATATTGATACGAATGCACAGCATCTCGACAATCGTGCACCCTACGTCGAAATTTGTCCAAAGGCAACTCAGACCCATTCTACGCTAACCAGCTGAAGGATTACATAGAGATCACACTACCTGATGCTGCACCAAATGTCGATAGTGAAACAACCACAGAGCACCACGTTGTCACCAGTGGTGGTCCCCCAGACCACGAGCGCCCACGCAGACTCACAGGTGAGAAGCTAAACGCCGCAAAAGAAGATTTTAATCTGTTGCTGCATCATGTTGTCATAAGACCTTCGAGCAGTCAATGGGCAAGTCCCATCCACACGGTGCCCAAAGATCCCGGTGGTTGACACACTACAGGAGACTTTCGGAAGCTGAACTCGCAAACGATACGAGATGGCTATCCCGATCAGAAAGATATCCTCCAACGGTTTCACGGCAAAACATTGTTCTCAACAATTGATTTGGTGCGTGCATACCACCAAATCCCTGTAGCGAAATACGACATTATTAAGACAGCAGTCACGACTCCTTTTGGGTTGCTCGAATTTTTGGGAATGCCGCCTGGTTTTCGGAACGCTATATTATTATATTGCGAATTATTTATTATAGGCGTAGGTCGCCTCGCGCAGCAGAATCTCAAACACTCCTTACAGGCTAACCTAATATTCACGCACGCCGCCAATTTACTGTCAAAAATTTCTCATGCACATACAACTTGTATGGGACCAACCGAAATTGAACGGCGTGCGTATGAAGCTAACTCAATTTCCAATTTTTTTTTTCTGCGTGACATTTTGATTTGACGTTTCGCTCAATGAAATCAAATGCAAACGCACGCAAGCCAATTTCGGGTGACGCAAAAAAACAAATTCGACGGCGTGCGTACCAAAACGCAAGCGGGAATATTAGGTTAGCCTGTTAGTGAGTACCTGAAAACTGCGCCCATCTCGCTATAAATCCTTTGGGAAAAGCATAAAGCCGATGTTTTTTGCCGCAAAGAGATGGGAGTTGGTCATGCTTTGTGTATTTTCATACAATTCATCTTATGTGTCAAAGCGAATCTGTCACCCAAAGCGAAGCAAGCGTTTTATCTGTCGTCAGCTGAAGAGTGTTCGCCAAGGAGAATTTATACAAGGTGTTGTTGTTAGATCAGCTGATTTCTTCGCTTTACATGTATATTTTTTTTGCTTTTACTAACAATCAAAAGCAACAGCAAGGTGGTCTTGGGGCGACAGCTGAGCTTTTTGGCGTGGAGGACATTACGTCAAAATGATGTGTTTGTTGTAACTCATGTCAATGACAGTATGGATCTATGTATAATTTGTTAGCAAGAATGATAGAATACAAGATTGCGCCGTCCTGGGCGTTCACATTTGTGTACCACAAGTAAACAAAGAATAGAGCGAAAAGAAGAACGAGTTGAAACTGCCAACACAGTTCACTTTACAGCGAAAAGCGTGTTTTAATTTGGCTAAATGCGAAAATATTGCATTTTTCACCTAATCTATCAGAGAATAGGTAACGTTTTAGCGCGCTCCATTGTTTTTCAATTAAGTCTAGAATATCAACAATCTAGCGATGCAAAAACTAAAAATGTGGCTCGACAGAACTGTTTGTGCTGATTTCAACCCTACCAAAATTACCGGCGAAATAAAACATAAAAAAGATATCAATGGTAAAAGTTAAATTTTCTGATTTTTTTTAATATTAATATCTTCTGAACAACATAACCTATTAAAAAACTAATGACGTCAAAATAAAGATAATTAATTTTTCTTTCATGTATGTATATAATTTATATGCCTTTTTATATTTTTAGTCCAGAAATACTAAAAAACAAAATAAAATAAAATCATATATTTTCAAATGTAGTTTATATAAAATTAGTTCTAAAACTGGTTATAGTATATACCTTGCATAAAAGGCCTTTAAATTATATTGAAACTAGCACCAATAATTTTTTAAGCGGTTAACTAGTTTCCGAGATATTAAACACATAAGAAATAGTTAAGTTGAACTTTAACCTCTTTTATTGGCTTTGGTTTTTATTTGCACCAAATAATTTGGTATGGTTGAAATTAGCGTAAAAAGTTCTATCGATCCTTATTTCTTGTTTTTCTATAGCTAAACGGTTGGTATTCTAGACTTATGTGTGTGTGTGTTAACTCCTGTAGTACGGGAACAGACTAAATGAGAATAAGAAAAAGTAAACAAAAAAATGTCAAATTAAACTCTGAGTTTCTTAAACACCCCAATGTGAACGCTTGACAGTTGTTCATAAACTCAAAACGTTAAACTCGAGTTAATGGCTCAATGAGAACGTAATATAAGGTGGTGTTACTAGCTCAGCTGATTTTGTGTATGTGTTTCGCCGCACGGCTTCTGATATCAAATTGAAAAATTTTGTTTGAATTTCTACACACACTTACAGATTTTGACAGTTTATGCCGCCAAAGCAAAAACAAAATACATGTATATTTTTGTTTTTGTACTCCTGCTATCACCTTATATTATTTCGCCTTGAACACCACCTTATATAAATTCGTCTTGCCATGCCAGAAACTATTTGTTTTAGTAATGACAATTTATTCAAAATATTTGTGTTTTTTCACAGTATACAGTAAACCAGCCATTGATAATTTGCTTATTTGAAAATTAATACATGAAATATTGTGCATGTATAGGATTTTTTTGTCATTAACCCATAGGCAACGACTGGTGCAAAAGTACCCACAAATGTTTGTTGATATATTTGTAATGTAAATTTGAACAGCGAAATTCGTAAAAAAAAATAATAACACAAAAATATTGTTAATTACTACATGGGAGATTTCGCCAAAATTTGATGCTAACCTAAATTATACCAAAGGCACCGACTTTCGTTCAAATACCTAAATTTGGAAAAATTTTCTTCAATTCGATCCAAATTTGAAAGAAATGAGGATAGAGGACATTTTTTAGGACCTCGGAGGCTTCTAATTAAGAAGTTATTAACTCTTAAAGTTGCACAATTCACCATACAAATTTCATTGATTACATGCAAGTGCTGGAAATGAACACAGATGTTGGTGCTGTCAGATGATGAAAATAGTAAAAATAATAGTAGTAAAAGTCGTTGGTTTTTTTATTGAAAATTTTCATTTTATATTGGGATACGGTTTTACGTAAAAAAGCGCTGCAGGCGAATTATTGATTTTAATAAAAATTGGAATTATGTATCATCGATATTTATAAAAAGGCGCCACAGGCGAAAATTTGTAATAAAAAATCGCGCGATTTTCTATCAAAAAATTCAAGTATGTATCGAAGTATCGATTTTTGTGTTCCAAAATTTAACGTTTTAAACGAAATACATGTATCCTCCTTACATAGAATACAGCAAACTCGGGATTTTTTACCCCTTATTCTCGAAAACTACTGATTTGTCAACATTTTTTTTAATAGAGATATTATCTTTAGGCCTGAGAATTTCTATATGGGTGATTTTTTTATATGAAACTTTGCTAGTGAAACTGCGAAGAATTTAACAACAAATTAGTTAAATACTATTACTAATAAAGTGAAAGAGTGATAGTTTTGCGAAAACACCCAAAAACCGATGTAATGGAAAGCCAGCCCGAACCATTTTCCAAAGTCAGCCCTCTATTATTCTCTCAAAGTTGTGTTCGGAACACGGTATGCCTTATGTAGGTCAGAATCGCTTAAGCTTCACGCCGATTTGCTTGGAATTTTGTTTTCCCGTTATTTTATTTTATGTGACTTGAAAATATTTTTCGCCATAAGAAAATATTTAAATTTGGGTTAACGAAAACGACAACTGTGAAAAAAATATCAACCAATACATTCAAACAAATTGTCAAATAAGCATATTTACATTTTTTGTTTTGTCTATCTGGATTACTGTATACTGTGTGTTTTTTATAACTTGAATTTGAGTTTATGTATTCTTTAACGATCTATGAGAAAAAGTGGCAGATTTTGCCAACATTGCAGTAAAACATTGGTTTCTTATCACGCCGTGCGGCAAAATAAAAACAAAAGAGTACAGAAGAAACAGTCTATATACACACTAAACTACGGGCCAAATATACTAAAACTGCGTTTTTAGTTTAATAGGTATTGAAAGTGCGCTTTTAATTAATTTTATTTTTTTACGCTAATAAAGTTAGGACGACGAAATTTGAGGATGTGGTCGTGTGTACATTAGTCCTTGAGATATAATAGTTATAATAATACATTGGTGCTTACACAATATGTGAGTGTTTGGTCGAGCTTCTCATCCGATTTGTACCGTGCGCCTTGATATTTTCACACAAATGGGAAGGATCTACAGTTTTACACCGTCTCCGAAGGCGATTGTATTTTTATGAGAAGCTGTTTTCATGGCAGAATACACTCGGAGGTTTACCATTATGTACCGTGGGGCGTCCGCTATTAGAAAAAGAACGTGTTTATATTTTATTTTTTGATGTTAGTCGGAAACTGGGCTCGAACCTAGGCCTGCAGAATGGTAGCGCGAAATGCTAACACAGCGGCCGCCGGTCTTTTCGACGAAAAATTTTAAAAGAACATTTTCAGTACCCATTTGTTCTTCCGCCCCAAAAATTTAATAGTTTTTAATTCTGCAGTATTTTCTCTTTTAGTTGATATTTACCCACATTGTTATTCAACACTGCACTAAATTTTGTAAAATTTGTTTGAATCACCATATTTTTGAAATTTCAAAAGCCATTTAAAAAAACTCCTGATACAGTTTTACTATATTTTGCCCATAGTTTCGCGAATATATTGATTTTTTTCTGTGTAAAATTTACTGTCACACGGTGTTATAAATGATTTCACAAATATTTTTTTTGTTTATAGGGAAGTACTAACTTCTATCAAAAATAGCAGTTTTTAGGGTTATAACAACAATGTCTGTAGTTAAATATTTGAATATTCTATTATTTTTTGCTTAGTACTTTTCCTTAATATTTTTTTAAGAAGTTTTAACTTTGCAAAGTGGTAAGCGCAAAAGTAATTGGATTTTAAGAATGTAGAAATCATGCACTCGTAATATTTACTTAAAGCTGGGTTATGTAAGACTTAGACTTGACTTAGACGAGATTACTCAGCGTGTCATCTATTACCTTTTCTGTTTATTTTGATTCTCTCATTTTGTAAAAGTTTAATTTGTTTTTACCCCAAAATTGATACAAAAGTACCATTAAATAAATGTAGGTTTGTTTTTTGATTGCCATATAAATTGCATTTATACAAAAAAAAATTTTTTATTGAATATTTGGAGGAATTTTATTAAAAATAAGTAAAAATGTGATATGGCAGCATAACTCTCACAGCTCTCTTTGAACTTAGAAATTTAACTTAAACATCAAAAATCTATAATTCTCCAAGTTTCTAAGTGAAGTTGTTTTTTGGGTATCTACATACACGCGTTGCTTATTTGCCAGATATCCAATTTCCAAGTCAAGTCAAGTCTAAGTCCTGCGTAACTGAGCTTTTACACTTGCAACAGTAGCGGCTTTGTCACATGTGCGGCTTTCGCTTTTCTAATTTTACTACATTAATTTACCGTAGTCAAAGAACATGTGTATGTACATAATATGCATGCACATACCAAGGCTGCATTTCTCCTCTGCAATTTGATTGCATGTCGAAGTGACAAGGCGTGTATCCGCCAATGTAAACACTGAATTTTAAATGTTATGGAAAAGTGGTCAAATGGAAAATGGTTTTACGGCACACTCTGCTACCGTATATGAATCACTAGTACATCACGCAAATTGGCAATGCAAATATCAGAATGACCCTCTGGTCACTGACTGCGCAATTTAATGGCTGTGAATGCATTTTGGCCTGCATGCATGAGCATACATACGTACATATGTATGTTCGAGTTATGTATGAAGGAGTGAATCAATTAGTTTAGTGCATCCATCCAAGAAGGTGGAATTTCGAATAAGGCAAATATGTTCATTAGGATGGTCCAAATAACGGAATTTTAATGCTCTCACCCAGGATGATTGTTCCACATAAAAGAAAAGTATAACCCTTTTTATTCTGAAATCAAAAACTATTTAGAGGTCGCTCAAAGCGCTCAAAGTTTTCCATGTACTTTATATGCACTTTTTTGTAGAAATGGTAAGAATTCTTGAAAATCGATATTTTTCTATCGAAAAACTCTGTTTCTATTCAGAGGGCGTTCAGTTATACATAATACCCAACTGTTTATTTAACAGCTTTTTGATATTAACTATTTTTTATAGGTCTTCCAAAAACTCCAAAAATATACAATGGGGACCCAGTACTAGAAAATGGTAAAATAAACAATTGGCTATTATTGGAAGTCTCCTGAAGAGAAGCAAAGTTTTCCGAACGAAAAACATAAAACCATTGATTTTCAAGAATTCTATGCCATTCCTACGAATCGTTGTTTTCCCCCCATATAAAATAAATGGAAACCTTGGAGCGCTTTGACCTACATACCTCTAAATATTTTTGATCTCGAAATAAATATAATAGGGTTATAAAACAATCCTAGGGGATGAGAGCATTCAAATTTGGACTTTATTTTTTCACATGCATTTTTGGGTCACCCTAGTGTTCATAAACTCAGACAAAAAATTGGTGTGTGCCATTTTGCCAAGTTTTGGCTATTTTAATTTTGTTTATTTAATTCTTGGACATTTTTATAAAAGTCTAGCGCAATATATAAATAACACCATATAAATCCACATTTCAAACTTTATACAATTATAAAAATTCAACAAATTTTCACAAAAATATAAAATTTTTTAATCAGAATTATACAAGAATTATTATAAAGTGTATGTTTGAAGTGGCTAAGAATTCGCGTTGACATTTAATAATTATTTTTTCTTCCATGTAAAAAAATTTCGAGCATACTTTGCATGGAAGGAAATTTTATTATATGAAAATTTAAGGGGCTATATAAGCGTATACAAAAAATATTTTTAGAAACTCTAATTAAAGAGTTTGGCATTTTCTGAGAAATTTTTAAAATTTTCTATTTTTTTACGAAGTTTGATATATGGTTTTGTCATATGTACATATATTTTTTGGCTGCCCGTTGTGCCTGCAGCTTTGCGAGGTCGAACGTTTGACACGTTGTCTGACGCATGTTCTCCATTGCACAGAGGTGCATGCGGACCTTAACTGCAACAATATAGTGATCCCA